CATGCAGGAGGGCTCTAAGAATGAGTCTTAAGTTTTCTGATGGCAGCTAAAACTAAACTGACCTGACAGTGATGCTTAGGCTGGACTTAAGAGTGTTTCATGCTAAGTTGTGCTGACATAGCAGTTAGCTATCACCGAAATGGGATGCTTTGTGTTCCTCTGCTCGACTCTTGCTTGAAACTCTTCTTAGATCCCTGTGTTAATGCCTGCTAAAGCTCAATACACCCATGAATAACTTGCAAAGGTAGGGAGAAACTTCAGGTGTTCTGCAGTTTGGCTTTACTGTCCTGTGGAAACAGTTGACAGCAAGTACAAAGTAAGTGGCTAGGAAGTGTCAGTGTGGTCTCTGACTTGCCAATAGTGTGTTGTTAAGCAGGCCACAGTTGTATAGCCCATAACTGAATAGATAGCTTCTGTAATTAGCTTTGTGCATGGCTGTTATGTGTAGAAAAATCTGTTTATTACAACAAGTAACAAGCCTGGAAGTGTGGGGAGTACTCTGTTGTATTAAGAATGTCATTATATTTTCAAGACTGCAGATTTCCTCTGTATCTCTTTGCAGTTGGTGAGAAAAGCTTGGTATCAGAAGCTGTTCAGGAGCTGTTCTTAATCATGGTCAGCATTTGATAGCGGTTATTTGTGTGGCTTTTAATGCTAGAAGTGAGTTGTAAGGATTGTCATCGTTGTTTGCTTACTCACAAACTGCTTTCTGAGAGTTAAGTGGGAATGGTCAGTACCTTTCTGTTTTGAATGAGATTCCTGCAGTGGTCTGAAACTGGAGCGCTAGTGAACACAATGTAAACCCCATAATTTTATCTAAAAACATGGTGAAATGATGAAATACTGGAATTCATTTTGGAGAGGAAGCAGGAGGTGTCAGAACTCAAAGGCCAAAATGATGTTCCTCTAGAAGCTATGTGCCCAAAACCACTAGAACAAGAATCTCTATAAAGTAGGCTTCTTCTTTCTGGACACTCAAATGAAAGAACCCAGTGTTCAGCTTTGAATTTTACTTTTATTTTAAGACTTTGAGCTAGGATGGTCTCATGGTATTAAGTAGGGTGTGCAGCCAGGAATAGTAAATGACTGTGTGCTTTTTTTTCTTTAAAGTTATCTCAGTTGTTAAAATAGGATATAGAGAGGAATTGCTGCAGTTTGAGAAGCTGGTTTGTGGAGTGTCAGTGTCTTCTTGCAGTTGTTACCTGTGAAACAGGTTAAAAGTCTCATACATGTATAGGCAAAGAGACTGGAAAATTGATGTGTCAAGTAGATCAAGTAGGAGGAGTATCCACTTTGGTAACTTCTGTTAGCTTTAGACACAGGGTAGTTTTGTGATAGACTTGGGCTTGAAGTATTACCAGCATGAATCAGATCAGTCTGTGGTCAAAATACCAGTGCGTAGGGACTGAGCTGAAACTGAAACAATCTAAAGGTACTGTATGTAAGAACAATACCAGGCTGCATATGAAATGGTATGGGATGATCTTTTGCTGATCCAAACAAGGCAAATCACCTATCTGTTGCCTGTGAAACGTAAACAGTAGTATGAACCCTTCTGTTAAAGGAGGAACTCTGTCTGAGTGGTAGACAAGGAGTTTTAAAACATTTGTACAGGCTGAACAATACAGTTAGGTTCAAAGCTATGAAATGAACGAGACAGGGTGACATATCATGATATGATACTCAAATACTGTATTTCTCCAATATAATTCATCTGATAACGTCTTCAATTAAGTGGGTTATAGTTCAAAGACATGTTGGAACATACGACCTGTCAGACTGAGGAAATGAGAGGGAAGGCAAGCTATTTTTTGTGGCTCAAGTGAGCAAAAAGGGATAAATGATCCCCAAAACCTTGGTCAAATGTAAAGAAAAAAGTAAGGAAACTTTATGATGCTGTTTTTGCATTGGACTTACAAAATAAGATCTTGATTAGTAAGGGAATACAAATTGCTTCCTTAAGGGATGTTGAGAATGAGGATTGGCAAGGATTTCAATATTGTTAAAGTGCAAGGAAGGAAGGTCAGATTTCAGCAATAGATTTAAAGAGGAGGAGAGCCAGCCTTTATTACAAGAGTAAATGTGTCCTATTCATCAGTACCTTGGGTCAGCTAAGGAGATGAATAATGTGGCCTTGAAGTGCCTTGTTCTTCAGCATCTTGTGCATTGTAAGTGTCTAAAGGAGTACATGTGTAGCAGTTAACTCATTATTCACATACCATCTTTGAGTAAAATACTAACATCAAGTGGAAGACTCTGTCAAATGAAATACCTATCTTGAGGCCTGAGTCTTAGAGCCCTGAGTATTGGCATGGTATTTAATGTGCTAGTTGGAATCGTTCTCTTGACTGCTCAGCAACCAAAAGAAGTTAGTTAAATAACAAATGGCTGAAGATTAAAACCAGAGATGCTATTGCAAAATAAAGGTGGTGTTGTTCTCACTTGAGCTTTAGGCTATTTTGAAAACTTTAAATGCTTGGGAATATGTGTATGCTGTTCTATAAATGATATGAATATGTAAGTTTAAGTTAAATGATTAGCATAGATAAGTTGATTTTTGTGTGTCTGTCTTTGGAGCCTGAATATGTTTCAGAAGATGAGATAAACGTTTAAAATGCAGTGCAATGATCTATTGGCTGTACTTCCTTTAGAATGTCAATGAACAAGATACAACTGATTAATGTTTTATAGCTGCAAGTGTGTATATGTATATAAATACATATATCCGAGGTCTGCTCAGTTCAGTCTCTAAACCTTGAAAGCAGCAGAAATGAGAGTTAGACGTGTGAAAATATTCATGTGAGAACCCAATGGTTTCATGGTACACATGAGCTGTTGGAAGTATTCCTTGGTGGAAGAAATAGAGGTTTTTTTTCCACATCTTCAGATGTCTTAGCTTTGTATTGATTCTTTAAATGTGCTCTGGTCATCTTTATGTAGCTAAAGCTTCTAAATATTGGGAATACAGTTGTCAAAAAACCCCACCAACCAACCCTTGCAAGGGAACAAAACAGCTTGTGTATTCAACTAACTGGGTTAACTTTGCAATTCACTTTAACTTCCTAGAAGTCTGTGCAGCTTTTGTGGGAGTGTACTTGTAAGGCTTTTCTGTACCAAGTTTGCAGGAGTTATGTACAGCTGATCATTATGTTAAGGTTCAATATAGGTAAAGGTTCAGTAGGTTTAAATATTGCACAATGTTGATTTCTCAGCAAAAGTATGTTTTCTTTACTTCAGTGATGTTACAGAGTATATGTATTCTGAAATACTTTCCAGAGCTATACCTTGTGTGCCTTTAGTTAGAATGTGATAGGCAATTACTCCTTAAGAGCGCTTTACCTCCAGCTCATTAGTCTAAATATAGCAATGGTAAGGGGAGACAAAATTTGGGCAGAATTCTGCACATTTCAGTTAATGTGCAAATAGTTGCCCCCTTTCCAATGTCTGTCTCAACAGTTTGTATTATTAGCTCAGGAAGCATGAGGAGACTGGCCAGAATGTTCTTGCATGACTCATGGATTAGTCATGGTAGAGATTGTCTATATGAAACTGAAGTTTATTAGCTATTTTTGCCCCCTCACCAGCCCCTCTCAGTGATGGGCGTATCAACAGCCTTGGTATAAAGTTCTGCTTAGTCTGATTTATTTGTGCAGCTAAATGTTTGAATACTATTGACATTAGTTAGTAGATTTATACTGAAGAAATCTGTAGCTGAATCTGTACATTGCTTGTTTGGGTGACTTCATTGACTTGGTTATGGTGTGAAGGCTGAAAAATCAATTGATGGGAAACGAAAAGCTTTTAACAATGGACTGACACATAAAGGCATATAGGGAACTTTTTCCTGAGCACATGGCTTCTCTTTTGTAGGAGCCTGTTGACTAAAACTGCAGTTGATGTCTCAAGTTGAATGACCCCTTCATGTGTGTGAAATGGATCTACTAAAATTTACTCTTGCATCTCATTCCGTGGGTGTGTTTTCACAGTAACAGCTAGAGTACTGATTTGATAACTGAAGAGCCTTGTACTTAAGCAGCCTACTCCAAGAGAAGGAACGATTTAAGTTGCTCGAATATCTGTTTGGCAAAACAAGGCATGAACTGGGGGTTTAATGAACTACTTCGTCCTGGTGGATTTCTTTTCTTGATGGGAGGTGGTGTAAAATGCTGAGCTCAGAATGCAGTTGCTACTGTGGAAAGTATTTTAGGTATTGAATGGAATTATACAGAATATTAAGCACTTGGCTGTACTTTCTCTTGCCTATTTACTGTGTAAATACAAGGAGAAGTTCTGGTGTGAAGACACTGCGCTACAGTATAGCAGAAGGACTGCATATGTATGATGGAACATATCTCTATTGGAAACTAGTATCTGAAGTTAGGATTGATTTCTTAGATTGACTGTCATTATGAAGGTGGAGTAGTTAGAGGGGTTTTGCCATTTTTATTCGGTTTTATTCTTTGCTTTATAACTAGTTACTCGTGTGCTAAGTGGTAGAATTTACACTTAGGCATTTCTTCTTCAATTATCTTTATTAGGAATCATATCTTTTGGAAGTAAAAATCAGTGTAGTAATTTAAGTTATATTCGTACCTGATGCTCTGGATCAGCAATTAAACTGCTGAAGTAGCATGTCTGATTACGGTGTTTTTGTTTGGTTGGTTGGCTTTGTTTGTCCAGTAAATCTGAAAACATGCTATGCTCATACCTAGTTAAATTCCCCAAAGATAGATACACCAGTTACACAACTATCAGGTCATTTGTATAAGAAGTTGTATATTAGTGATAGTGTTCTCTGAAGAGTAGTTGAGCTGCTGTTACTGCTTAAAGCGTGCTTTTGCAATGTCTCCGCCCTGCTGTGAATAGGCTAGAATATGGTTATTCAGAATCAAGTACGAGTTCCTTTTGAGGAAGGCAAGCTAATTACTGGACAAGGCTTAATGTGAAGACTCGGAGGCCTAAGCTTCTTGTGTACTAACTAATAATTCTTTTGTTTTTAGGTGCCTTAGCTGGACCAATTGTTGATCCACATGTGACAGCAGTTTGGGGGAAGAAGGTTGCACTGAAATGCATTATTGATGTAAACGAAACAATAGCACAAGTTTCCTGGGAGAAGATACATGGGAAAAGTTCACAGACTATTGCTGTTCATCATCCTGAATACGGAATATCTGTTCAAGGAGAATACCAAGGAAGAGTGTCGTTTAAAAACTATTCACTTACTGATGCAACTATCATCTTAAAAAACGTAAGCTTTTCTGATGCAGGAGAGTATATTTGCAAGGCAGTTACATTCCCACTTGGAAATACCCAGTCATCAACAACTGTAACAGTACTAGGTAAGTCAGCCTCTATGAAAAGAGGTGAAATTAATATCACAAAGTTGTTAATGAACCTTAATTGCGTTTTACTTTTTCACTCAGTATCAATACAGACAATGTTATTTCATAACAGGTGTCTTGGTATTCTTACTAAAATCATTAAGGGGACTTCTTTTGGCCCTTGCTGCTTTAGAACTTGCTCTTTGATTGTCCAGATGTGGAAAAAATAAATAAGTTGTCCCTATTTAGGCATTGTTCTAATCTAAACATTTAGACAGTGCTTTAAAACTTAGACTTGGCAATGCTGATATTACAACCTGTGTATGTGTGTGCTGAGAAGCTGCCAAACACAGCTTCAGCTACCACCTTGGCTAAATTCCCTCCTAAATGTGCTCCTAATATGATAAGCTAATGTAGCTGCTAGGGGCTAGTGATGTACACTGTTCTTTGCACAGTGTAAATGTAAAGCAAAACTATCTAGACTACTACTGGGAGTTGTGGGAATGAAGAGGCAGTTCAAGCCCTTTACTGGTTGTGGGCTGTTATGATGTGAAGCTTGTATAAACTCAGTTTTTCACATGAAGTCATTTTGTCCATCTTGCTGAGGGTACAGTATTGCTGTCATAAAGGAGTAGTACTGAAGCACAGGTAGACTTTGGTGGTAGTGCAGTATGAGGTGAAATGATTACTGTTTGAAACTTGAAAGTGTATTGATGACTGACCCTTCCCTTACAGTATTATACCTTCTTGTAACAGAGAAAGTTGCCTGCAGCAGAAGCACAAGTAGTCAGGTGATTTTTTTCTAGAGCTGACATAGTCCTCAGCAAGTCTATTTTTGTAAAGTAATGTGCTTTTTAGTTTCTTCTTGGTTGTAGATCTCTGACTTCCATGGTAGTAGAACACTGTGAGATAGATGGCTACAGCACAGTACATAAACTGGTTTTCACCACAAGGTGGGGCAAAATAAATGCATCAAAGCAAGTGGCTTAATCCAATTTGAAACAAGTAACTTGACCAAAGAGATTCTGTGATCTTCTAAGCATGTATCCTTATGGCTGTCTTTTCCATATGTCTTCTGTCTGTACTGCAGATGGCTGTGTCTGAGGCTATTGCATCAGTCTTCTGACTTCAGGTTTCAGCTGCTGTGCTTTATCAACATACAGTGGAAGGCTCTTACTCCTTTCTGTCATCTCTTCTAGTCAGTTACTATTTCTGCAGTGGTTGTTTGGGGTGGGTTTTTTTTTTTCCAGATCCCGTTAGTAGTTGTGTCCGTTTTGCCCTTTAAATTGTAGTTTTATGGAGAACCTGAGGAGGAATTTGGGAAACAAGTGTATGGCCTATGTGTTATTCCACACCTGAAAAAAGTTGAAGGACCCCAAGTTGTTGCATGAGATATGTATTAGCAGAAATTGCAGTTTGAATAAGTGAAGTAGCATCTCATGCATATCGTGGTCCTCGTCATAGAGGTTTTATCACAGTTGATGTAGACGGATGCTGGTAGTTGTAAGCTTCTCAGTGACTTGGTATCAACCTCTGAATTGCAAAATCCAACTGCTGCTTGTAAACCAACTGGCTTGTATGTATAGCAGGGTAGCCAGCCCACTGTTGGACTTAAATGTGTTTAGTGGCCTTGGCAGCACATATTCTGTCATACTGATAACTTTTTGCTACACTGACATCTAGACTGACACAGTAAAAATAGTGGGGAAGGAATGGTTTTCAGAATATGCATGTAACTGAGTAATTTTTGAGCTTTTCTGGCCTGAGCTCAGCGGTTCCAAGCTCAGCAGTCTAAAAGCATGGAATAGCTCCAAACAAAACTTAAAACCTGATGTAACATAAAATCAGCTCTATTCTGACTGCTTTCTCCCACTGTTCTAAAACACTCTTCCCTAAGTGAGGGAAGCCAAGTTCATGTCTTAGGTCTGAAACTGTTTCCAGCCCAAGCAGCATCGCCTTTTTTCCTAGTCCCAGTTCCTATTTAGCAAAGACTTCATTTTCCTTCTATGTGTAGTAGACAGCTTAATTATGCTTGTACACCTTCAGGCAGAGACACTGAAGACAAATGAAGGGAGAAAAAATGACTACAGAATAAAATGTGGTTTTGCCACAGTACACTGATTGCTTAAGACCGTATTTAGAACCTCTGTCTTGCGCTACTTAAGCACCCAAGTTTGATGACTTTGCTCACTCAGATTGCTTCGTGTTTTCTTGAGGAAAAGCACTGTTAAAGAGGTTAAGGCAATTAAAATAAGAGAAACCTTTTTGGGTCAAACAGATGTATTGATCTTGTCTAAAACTTTGGCTCTTCAAACTTACCTTGTTAAACGAGGGCAAAAAATTGCAGAGAACTTTACATCAAGCTGTTTCTCAAGATGTTAAACTGGCCAAAATGGTGTTAGAAGGCAGAAGAGATGATGTGTGACAGGGTAGCTTGCAGAGCAAATATGACTTTAGTGTTGCTAGTTTGAGAGCTTCACACAAGTGCTTTAAAGACTTGGTTCAGTTTGACTTCACTGTGTTGCTAAGCTAGATTTGTCAGCAAGGGTACTGATAAAGTAGACGTTTTTCTTCTGCAGACTAGCTCTCAGCAGTGCTACAAGTGAAGAATGAGCTGCACAGGTAAGAATGTCCAAGGTGTAGGTCCATCACCATGGGTAGATCTTAGACACACCTATGTAGAAAGTCTTACAATAAAAAGAATTAAAGGTGAAGGTCAGTGTAGAAAAAAACGTACTCTCAGTTCTGATTAATGGTGTTTAAAAAAAGCTAGGTGATTAAATGTACACTTTTATGTTCAATACAAGACTAGGGGCCAAGCTATCAAGTAGATAACAAATTAGTAAACTGACTGGTCTTATAAAAGAAAACAAGCAAACCAAAGTCCATAATAAAGCTTTAGTTAGTGGGCTGGAGCAATTATGTGGAAATACAAGGCTGCTGGTTTAGAGGGGGAAAAGAAACCAAGTGGAAATACTGTTTTGGAAAGAAGTTAGTCAAGTAAATGTCAGTTGTGATGTAGAAGGGACTGACAATTCCCAGTGTCATGCTGTTGCCAAGGAATTAGTGAATTTAATGGTAAGTGGAAATAATACTGTTTGTGTTGTAATCCTGCCAGTTTCATCCAGACCTCCTGCACACAATGGCAGAAGAAAACCAGTTCTAAAACTAACAGGCAGTTGAAAAAGGTAAAAAGGTTTATGAAGTATTTAAAACCACAGAGAAGCTTTGAGGCCTGGAAAGCTAAAGCAATAGGATTTAAGGCTCTTTCTTTTCTGGATGCTTTGTTATTTTCTTTTTCTATAAAGTAGTACAAGGACTTGAGCAATAAGCGATCTGTCCATGTGAATGTAAGGTGAATCTAGAGTAAGTAGGGTTAAATTAGGTAGTGGTCATGAATCAATAAAAGGGCTAGCACAGATGTGCCTTAGTTGAGGCTTCCTAAGTTCATCTGCTGCTTGTAACTGAAGTATCATTGATGCTATAATAGATATATGGGTAGGATGACCCATGTGCAGTGACCCTTGGACATGCAGACTGAACAGACAGTTTATCTACTCTGATTACTTAAAGGGGATGGGGGAAACCAGCACTGCCTTTGAACTCTTGCATTGTGGAAGCCTTTTGATTTTGAATCTTTGTGGAGTGAGTGGCTTCCTTTCCCAACCTAAGCATTGTTCCCACCATCTTTGCTATTTGACCAGAATAGAGTGTAATGTTTCTGCTGGTGAAGCAGTTCTTTAATGCTTTAACAAACTTCTTCCTCTGTCACCTACCACCATCACTGTGATCTAGGGAGGTCTGTACGGCAACTTCAGTTACAATTTGAGGCAGAATAAAAGAAAGACCAGCCAAAAATCCACCAAACTTCCAAACCCCATTCTTTGGGTAATCTTTTTTCCAGGTTGAGAAAGTAAAACTTTCCCTGTGTGAGAGGTGAGATGCAGGTGGCCCCTTGTAATAAGGGGTGCATTCTGTAGATATTAATCAATGAGTGAAACCTTTAGACTGTAGAAATGAGTAGATGGGCTTCTGCTGGTTTTGCTTCAGTAGTTGGGATAAAGCAGCACTGAATAGACTACAGAAAGAAGAATGATAATAGCAGTTGATTTCCACTTCTTAGTATGTGGCTATTTGGTTATCTTATAGTGGGTGCGTAGTCTAATAATCATGATTTATGGGAATGTGACGGCAAAAGTCCAACCATTTCTGTAAGTATAAAACAACTGAAGCACCAAACCACATTGAAGTGGGAATAAGTTTATTATGAAATGGAGTAGTTTTGAATAGTTCAGGTTTGTGTCTTTCTGACAAGCATAAAGCTAAGAACTACACAGTGAGCTGAAAGCGGCCAATCTCACAGATTTCAGGTACCACTGGAGAAAGCAAAGGAGGACTTTTTCCTAGTAGTTAAAAGTAAATTTTCAGAAGAAAATTATCTTGGGAAAAATTAGGCTTTTACATGAGTTTATATTCTGTTCTCAGGCTACTGTTATTTAATGCTTTTAAAGAGCACGTCTTCAAGTACGGTAAGTGAAGCAGCATATGGAGTGTTCTGCTTTGGATCTGAAGATCTCTGCTACCTTAGTTAAGACTTGATGCCTTATACTTCCCTTTGCAGAGGGGTAAAGGAAAAATTCTGGAATAGTATACTTTCATTGGGGTTTTCGGTTGGTTTGTTTATTTTTAATTCAAGGAGTAAGATAAATGAGACTTAATTTCCAGTGGAGTGATTTGGGGTTTTGAGTTCTGCCTTGAAAAAGTAGTGATAGCTGCTGTTCTTAACTGATTTCACTGTGATGGAGGTCTTAGGTGCAGGGAGAAACAGTAAAAAATCCTATCATTATGCTTCTAAGACAACATGAATTGGTGTGCATACTTCTGCATCTTGTAATTCTGCAGAAGCTATTGGTAAGGTAACTAGTGATTTTGGGGTGAGCAAGGCAGTAATGTTTACATTTAATCAGGGAAGACAAATTGTGGGTCAAATTACTATGCAATATCAAGTTATTCACAGTAGGTTTTTAAAGGCTTTTTTCAATTGGTAGAACGTGTATGTACATCAGATTAAATATTGAAGCTCATTGCAGAAAGGTGTAGTTGTTGCTAGCAGGGAATAAAATATTCAAAGAAGCTCTGTTTGAGATGTTTTATATCTAGAAGGAAAGTGTAGAAGCTTGTAAGAAAACCCTGCTGTTGGTGTATTTACAGTAAGATCACTAGCACATCACAGAGGGTAGGGATTCAGGGAAACAAAGCAGAAAATAATCCACACTCAGGATCTGTGCAAGCAACCTTCAGTATTTAAGTGCTTCCAGGGGTAGAACAGAAAACACTGATTTTTATAAGGTTATCCATTTAGCAGTTGCCTTTCCTTTTAGTGAGCAAATGATAAATGACTTCACTCAGATGTGAGCAATGATCAGAGACTGAGCAGAAAACAACCAAAACCTGATTCTGACACTGAATTCACTCAAGCTGAAGATACTTGCTACCCAGTTACCTCTTGAAAGTATAGGTAGTTGAATTATCTTCCCAGGTATTGTGAACTCTACTGCATTTCGAGATATCAGCTTCTGGGGGAAAATATCCATGAACTAAATTTCTCCTTAAATACATGCTACTGAAAGCCACAGAAGTTGCAAGAATTGTCTGGTTTGTAATAGGTGAGGGCTAGTCGCTGAGGTGGACTCCAAAGCATTGTAGTTTGTAGTGATGATTTCATTTCTTATTGCATTGAAAGGCAAGGATCAAGTAATAGGCTGGTACGCTACCGGGGAGCATGTATCTACTACTACTGATTATAGAAATGGGCCATCCTTGGTTTGTATCTGGAGCACCACAGGGTATTTCTGACTTAGGCTGCAACTGGTACATGGCTTGCACAGGGCTGAAACAGATTTCTTATTGAAGGAGGAATCTTCATTTTAAAAAGCTTTTCATTCTGTGGCCCTCAACAGCAGACTTGTACATCAGGAATCCAACTTCATTTGGGAAGTAATCGTGTTCTTTAAGCCCTCAGAATTTACAAGCGTGAGCAATGCATTTACAAGGAGGTCAGATCCTTCTCTTGAGTCTTGGACATAGTATTAAGTTAAAATGTCTTGCTTCTCTAGGGATTCATTTACAAGAATATATATAGAGAGACAGGATTATATGTATATATAGAAAAAAAAATTGTATATCGAAACCATACAAATGTTATGTGTCTAATCTGTATATTTGTTTGTATGTATTCGATTTTAAATATGTGTATATATAATACTTTGGTAGAGGTTAAATGTCCTTTTCAGCATGGAATCAATTTATATTGTTGTACTGATCAACAGGAGCTTAAATTCTTAATGGCAGGTGTTACTTGATTCAGTGTTTTAACTTTGAAATGACCCAAACCTAGTAGTATAGATTAATACTTAAAGTGTAATGCTGTCAGTGCATTAACTGTAGTGAATGAGCAGCATGAAACTTTAATGTGGACAAAGGTGAACTGTATCAGAAGGCCAAAGCTTTGTAGAGTTATCTCTGGAATATGACATAATCTTATTTCTAGGATGTCTGATTCGAGTGGACTTTTGCAAATGGATTTGTTTTATCTAAGATGTGGAGTCTTGTTTAAACTTACTGTTTTTCCCCTCCCTAGTTGAACCTGTTGTGAGCTTAACGAAAGGACCAAACCCTCTAATAGATGGTGCAAATAGGACAGTAGCAGCCACTTGTACAGCAGCCACTGGAAAACCTGCTGCAGAGATTGACTGGGAAGGAGGTCTTGGTGAAATGGAATCCAGCTCTACGTTGTTTCCAAATGAAACGGTGACAGTTGTCAGTCAGTACATGATTGTCCCTACACGATTTGCAAGAGGAAGACGTATAACTTGTGTGGTGAGGCACCCTGCTTTGGAAAAGGAAATAAGATACCCGCAAGTGTTGGACATACAGTGTAAGTATTCTCTAAGGTAATTACTGCTTGGTATATATCCTATAACCACCCTCTTGATTTTGCTCTATGCCTTCCACAGAAGAAGATGAGCACTTAGTATAAGGCAAAGGAAAACTAAGCTGTGTAGGAAAGCAGGTGGTAAGAGGTAGGTCAGGTAGCAGTAGAAACCTAGGATGTCTATTAAAAAAATAGTTAAAAAGGTAGGCACAAAGCTGGAGTACTGTTGTTTCTACAGTTTATTTTGGATGTTGGCTGAAGGGTAAACAGAATTCACATTTATGTTTAACATTGAAAAGATAACAGACAAAATAACAAACTAATTATCTGTAAACTGCTCATAATGCCTTATGGTTTGAGCAGTACTAATGAAGATTGATGTTTGAGATAAGCTGAGAGTAGGTCTTATGGGGATCAGTGAGTTATTTTCAAATTGCTAAGGTTTTTTCCACTCTAATTTGCATAAGGAAACAAGAACATAATATGTAATGTCCTAACACTTGTTGCTTAGCTTCAGATTGCTTATATAATTCAAACCTGCACCAGGCTTGTTTAACAAATCTGTGGCTCTAAAACACATGAGTACAAAGTTAGGTGGCTTACAATGCTTAGCTAAAACAAGTAGAGATAAATAAGCTTTAAGCCTTTGATCTGGTTTTTGTTAGACAATGCATATGTGACCATAGTGACCAATTTACAAATTCTTCCTTCTTAGTACTTGGTCTTAGTTGTGTGCTGCTTTAAAATCCTCAACTCACAGAAGTCTGTCATTTCAATCAGAAGAAATGTAGTGGCTGGAAAATAATTAACTTTGCTGTTTTGGTTTGACTAGAATATGGTATGGGTTTGGTTTTTTTCTGTTTGTTAAATAATCACTTATTTGAGCATAAAACAGTGAGTAGTGCTGATTGAGTTGTCAGTGTTGAGATGAAGTTGTAGATTGAAGTGCCGTTGATACAGAAACAGAAACAAAGATGGTTTGTTCCCATTATTGTCTCAAACTGCGTAAGAGAATCAAGTTCCACATTTAAAGTGAAATGAGGGGGTAAGTTGATCTTAAACTTACTTGGAACTGAGTGCTAAGGCATGTTTCAGAACTTCTGGCAGAATGGTGTAGTCAGCAGCAAAGCAGCAAGAAGCAGAGATTACATGTCTTGGTTCTTTAGTCTTCCTTCAGTCCCTCCTGTATCCTTCCAGATTTTACAACTGCTCTATCTCTACATAGCAGATTATACCAAATCACTCTGGTAGTTCTGTTCTCTGGGTTCTGAGTCATGGAATATTGCAGCTAGGTCTCTCAGGCTTATCTAAAGTGGCTTCCTTGCTTTTTAGAGCCATAATGTAATTCTACATTATGATGCCAGTGGGTAACTGTTAACCTTTTTAACTGACATCTGTGAACTCTTTGATTTCCTAATAACCTGGCTTCTCAAAATGCTGACTCTGATCGTTTGCTTTATCTTGTTGGGAGAATTAGCTCAGAATTACCCCTCCTCATGTCCAAACAAAACCCCCATTAAACCGATTATTCTGAAGTCCTCTCACTTCCCCAAAGTGCTTTATGTTAGCAGAAAACACAGTAGGGACAGTTGCACAGACTGAAACAGCTTATTGTTCCCTATCTGTTCCACTGCTGCATATTGTACTGTAGTTTGGAACAGCGTTGGTGTTTTACTGTTGGCTTTCAGATTAAAAAACAAACTAAAGAAAACCCCTAAAACAACCAACAAGAACAAAAAAACCCCAGCACCACCACAAAAGAAAGCCCAACCAAGCTACTTCCCGGCAAGCCAAGTGACCAAAGCAAAACCCATCTTCTGCTCCACTGAGCTGAGCATAACACTCAGTTCATGTTTAACCAAAACACTGTGATTGTTGATAGGTTAAACCTTTTATTTTGTCAGATGCCCCAGAAGTTTCAGTAACTGGCTATGATGGAAACTGGTTCATTGGGAGAGAGAATGTTCAGCTCAGATGTAATGCCGATGCAAACCCATTACCTATGGAATTTATGTGGACCAGGTAAGTATTTATAAAAAGGGGCTTGGCACATGATTGGAGTGATATAATCTTTTAGCTTAAACACCTGTTTTGAAAACAAGAAGTATCTGACTTGTATTGGGTTGTAGTGGTGTTATCCAGCCTTTTAAAAGGATGCAAGATGTGTATGTGTATGTATGGAAATGAGTGAGTGGGCATCTTGTAAATATACAAGCCCGAACAGTTTGTTGTTACTGTCAGGATGAAATCTTCTGTAGGTACTTAATAAAATAGACTAAACTGTTCATCTTGCAGTATAGAGTGCAGCACCCAATAAATCTAGTAGGAATCCAACTATTATTAATTCTTTTTCATTATTAAAGTAGATTGTAAACACTTCAACAGACTTCTTTGTATCTATGTTTTAAAGTCTGGAAATTGCAGTTGAGATGGCAAATACTGTTCACTGAATTACAGTATTGTCATGTGCTTCAAAACTGCTCAAGCAGTTACCAAGGCAGATAAATGCATTGCTTTGCATAGTAATAGAAGCGAGGTTTAGGAAACGAACTTAAATAAGAGCTGCATTTCATGCATATATGGATTGAGTGGGTCCTACTCTTAAATATATTTCTTTGCTTCTGCAGCCATGGGTGCAGTTTGGGCAAGAGGCAGAGGAAGACAATAAAAGCAAGCTTAGATCAGAATCTGTCCTGTGAAGAAGAAAAAAAATGATATAAGCCTAGCTATTTTAAATTGATGTGTTGCATGTAGAAACACAGAAAATAACTTTGTTAAGGACAATAAAGCTATGTTGTGGTCTTTCTGTTGATAAAAATAAGGAATATTTACTGATGTGAAGCTGTAATTAAGTTCTCTACCTTCTCAATTTAGCATATAGGAACGGTAGTCATAATATGGTTTAAAAACATTGTATTGATAAATATAGGATTGCTTAATGGTTATTTCCCAGGAAAACAAAACAACTGGCTCCATCATAAAAGCAGCCACTGATACCTTAAATCATTGCAGCTGTCTCTAGTCAGAATGGTATGGCTGTGCTAAAGTAGGTTTAGTAACCTTTACCTACGTGCTGCAGTAGGCTGCCATCCCCATTCTGTCCTTAGCTCAAAATCCATGTGATGAGAGATCTCTACACACAGTTAATTCCTAGCTGTTAATAGATACTTAAATAAAAGCAAAATGGGAGCCAGTGAAATTACATAGGTGTTTAATGGGCAGTTGGCACGTCTGTTAAAAGAGTTCCAATGCCTTAGGCCATCCCCTTTCTCTGTTAACACAGTTGTTACTGCAGTCACATGCAGAATGCTATAGGAAAATTAGACTTCCCTCTTCCTGACAGTTCTTTCCCCAAGTATATGACCAAGCATCAAATATATGACCAAATTTGGTTTCACTGATGTAATTTAGGTGAGAAATTCTGGAGACTGAGAAAAGGCAGGTTGAGAGGGAAGAAACTGCTTGAATTTAGGCTTAAAAATCGTTGTCAGTGTCCTGTAAATTAAGTGTATACAGACAGAAGTTGTAGAAGGGTTGTGGAATAGCAGGTTGGAAGGGTACCTCAGGAGTCATCTGGTCCAACCTCTTTTGCAAAAGCAGAGTCTAGAAAAAATTACCCAGCACCCTGTCCAGCTGAACCTTAAAAGTATCTAACTTGGGGGAAACAACCGTTTACAGTGGTTGTATTTTCTCACTGTGAAAAATGTTCCCCTTGTGTCCAACTGGAGTGTCCCCAGTAGTACCCGTTAGCCCTTGTCTTTTCCATGTATCTCCTTGTTCACTCATATTGAGCTTGCTGTCTACCAGCACCCCCGGCTCCCTTTAGAGATGTGAGTGAGCTGAAGTTAGCTCTTCTGGAATCATCTTGGTACTATCCTGCCGGATCCCATACTCCACAGCATTGCGATCACCATAGTCAGGGTTATCACTAGCCCAGATACTACTAAGTGTTCTTAACTTGTGAATAGCAAGTCCAGTAGGGCCTGATTCTTGGTTGGCACATCTAATGTCTACATGAGGAACAGTTCTCCCTGCATATTCATTGCGAAAGCTAAACTGGATGCAAAAGAGCAGGCATGTAATTGACAGCACAGTCTTAAGTGCTGCTTACTTTGAGTGTTACTTCTAGAGCTTGAGTTGGGTTGTCCAAGTTCTTTTGAGATACTGGTTTCTTAACTGTAGTAGTGTTCATTTGTAGACTTTGTAGCTTTGCTGCTATCAGCAGATTTGACATTGAGAGGACAAATGTGATGCTGTATGATCAGATGGACACTGAGAACATCCAATGAAAGGCCACTGACTGCTGGAGCAGAGCTAAAAGTTCACTCTCTAGGTTATTGCAAATACTTTAAACTAGTTAAACTTTCAACTGGGAGTCTTTATGACTGAAGATATCTGTTCTGTTTTAGGTTGGATGGACAATGGCCTGAGGGATTGCTAACTGTTAACAATACTCTGCAGTTCAGCAGCCCGTTGTCTTACAACTACAGTGGGACTTATATCTGTAAGGTGACTAATGCCCTTGGTCAAAGAAGTGATCAGAAGACCATCTACATATTAGGTAAGTCTTATTTTCCAGCAAAGACAGTATGCTAACTTAGAATTTTTTTGGCCAGTGGTTGAAACAGCAAACTGAAGAGGCAGTTGATGTATAAAATGTTTACACATTTAAATTGCATGAAAAGCTATTGAAAAGATGGATTTGAGATATAGTAAAACTTGGGATTAAATTGACTCTTCCATAACAGCAATGTAACAGTGGAAATCCTGAAGGTTGAGGTAGTTCCCATAGTGCTTCTAAGATTACTGCTTTCTCTTGATGTGTGAACTTTGTGGGTTTTTTTCCAGGGTTAACCTGTGTTTGGCAATGGGTACTGACCTGAGTAAACAGTAACTTGGCTGTAATGAATTGAAAACACAGATGTTAGTGGGAGGGGAGCAAGTACACTTAGAAAAAGTCATAGGCTCAGCACGAAGGAGGTTATTTGCTTATTGTTCATTTATTATGGCTGTTTTCTCAATGTGTGTATCGTACTGCAGGTACTCATTGTCTCCTTTTCTTGGGATGCAGGTATCTGTGTTTACGCATAAAATTAAGTATCTCATGCAAACGGCTTGCTGATTTACTTAGTGTAAAATGTGAAATCTATGTGTCTGTTTAGCACCACATCTGCTGGAAAACATCCACATGTCTATTAACACAGTGTAATTAATGTTATACTATGACATCTTTGTGAAAGAATGACATGACTTAAGATACTTTTGAACAGTGCTGCACAAGTGTGAAATAGCTGTCTGGATTTCGTAATGGATTAGATAAATTAGCTAATACCTAGCTTGATTGGTAAATGCTGATATATATCATTTTTTAAGGATGATAAAAAACATTAAAAGTAAAACTTCATTCTGCTGTATGGTGTTGCTGCTATGCAGTAAGTTCTTTACATCAGTTGTTCCATAATGTGAATGGTTAGAGTATGTGCTGGCCAATTACAGGATACAAACGTGTGACTTCTTTGTAAAAGCTTAAAGCTAAATATGAACGCTTAAGAGTTGAAATTAGAATGAAGACTTAAGACTAAACCTGAAAGCTCAGGATGTCTGGCAGCACATCTGTCACACTTTACATTTGGTAGGGGTTTTTTGCATCTTTAGAAACAGAAGATGGCATTTCAGTCTGACTGACATAACTACACTGCGAGCCATTGTGGAAAACTCATCAGTTCTAATTAACTGACTAGTTAATGAGCTAGTTAACTGGGAACTTCTAAATAGTTTGGGACAGTGGAATTATTTGTACCAAATCATGTAAAATTCCTGCTAGTAAGACTGTTACATGCTGCAAATTAATACACAAGTCACTTATTCAATAAGTTGCTTTTGGGTGCTTGGTTTTAATGCTTCCTTCATGGAGAATTCATGGCTGTGTAACAGTCACAAAACAATCAAAAAGGGTGTCACGTGGTAAGAAGTATCAAGAAATAAAAATTAATCAATATCATCATGAAATAAGTTGAAAATTTCCTGGAATGTAACATTTAAACACACTTACTCAGAAAGTAACACTACAGTTTATAGCTCTGTTCTCAGCGCTATCCCAACTATCCTAATACAAGGATATATCCTTATATTATATCCTAATATAAGTTTTTTCAAGTCTACCACTTCTCAAGTTGGCAGTTCTATGATCTGCTGTTAGAAAAGCATGTAACTCATGCTTTTTATGACTCTGATGCATGATAATACAAGGCTATCATTTGAGTTATGTTAGTGACTAACAGATTTAAATAGATTAACAGTGGAATCCATGTATGATGCTTCCTAAAATGAATCAAGTTCTTGAATAAGCAGAATTAGACATACATGCTATTCGAGCTCTGGTGATTGCTCATGTTCTGTGGCAAATGCTAGGTAACTCACTGCAGATATAGGGTGCAGTAGTTGACCTTTGGCATGGACTGGTGGGTACTGTTCGTGTGCTGCTTTTCAGTTGTTCAGCAACTTTGTTTTGCTGCTTCATTGCAAATAGCAAAACTTAGCTGTTTTTAGGGAGTGCCAGAACTGAACCTTAGCTGGCTAGAGGTTATACAGGGTCATGCTTCAAGAAGTTATGTGCACCAGCAAAAACAGTTACTTTAGCTGACATGAATTTAGTTTTTGTACAACTTCATGTTAATCTTGGAGTATGTAGTGTGATCAATAGCTATGAAAAACACAGCTGATTTTTAGGCAGCTTACAGTAAATCTGCTGCTTTATCTGTGTGACTGCTCAGGCAAGTCATGCACATCAGGTTAATGTCAAGAGAAGCATCCAGCACTGTGCTCTAGGTACCTTAGAAATGGTAATACCAAAATGATTAAAAGCACTGTGATTAAGTTGATAAAATGAAAGAGGTATGGCAATTATATAAGTGTAAACACCTGTGTTATTTCATGCATCAATATTAAGCAAGTTTTATTGAGAAGAACTTCTCAGTGTGACTAGTTCTTTAACTGAAATGCCCTAAAATGAATGTAGGATGGGATAAGTGACTGCAGAATAGCAACAATGTCCATCATAAATAAGAACCATATTTATGATAACTAATATAGGAAATTTAGAGACTGATGCCAGGAGTACAGAAAACAGGACTAAAATAGGTAATTTATGTCATTATTTCCCAACTTAAGGGAACTCCCAACTTTTGCTTAATCAAGCAGATACCTAGTAATGGTGAACATGGCAATGCAGTCCTACAGAGCAATCATTTAGATTATATTTCTATCTTAGCTATTTTCCACTGTGTAAAACCTGGCAAAAGTATAAAGCCAAACTGGGAAATTAGCAGACAAATCTGTATGATCACACCATCTTCCAAATTGTAATTGTGAAGATGTCAGAAAGGATTCATGAAGTTAATTTTTCGGAGCAGTCATGGTGCTGGTACTTACAAAGCTTTTTAACTGTTGGGAAAAAAGTAACCACCAAGTTAAATTGTTGTCAGATTTCAGTGTTCAGCTGAGCAAAAAGTGCTTTTGGTCCTAATATGCATTGTTGGGGAAAAAAGGCTGTATTTTTGGTAAATTCTGTTTGCTTCTAACCTTTAGGTTAATACTCTTATAGTGGAATAGGGAAATATGAGTAGATGACAGGGACTAAACAGTACACACACTAGCTGTTTGTTACAGATGATACATCCTTGCATGGGTAGGGAAATACTAAAATGGTGTTTAAAGTTAGTTCTTTTAATGCTGGTTTTAAGGCACAGATATTCCTTACTACTTCAGCAGTGGTTTGAAAGGGTTGCTTTTATAATGTGGAGTTATCAAGCATCTGCTTAGCATCTAAGAGAAATTTAGCCATAACAGCAGGTTAAGTAGAGCTGTGTTTACACAGGGACATACCTGCCTGTAATGCATATACAGGCAGATGCTTTTCACTTGCTAAAATAAGAACTGCGAAGAGAGAAGTCTTGTAATTTGTGCAAAGCCAACTCACTTTTTGGATTATATGTAATTGATAGTAGATCCTTGTCTTGTAGAAAGCAGAGAAAGGGATTTGGGGCTTCATTTTGTTTGTTAAAATGGGAAGAACTAGAGTTTGTATAGTTTCAGAAGCCAAGGTAGACTTTAACTGTATTAATACGTAACTTGCTAATGCCCCTTCCCTTCCAGAACTTTTCTTTCTATAATGCTTTTGTGACAGATTTTAACCAAAGGAGATGTGTGCCAGTATTGATATTTTTTCCTTATTACAGAGCTGGTCACGTTATCCCTGAAATAATTCCTAGCAAGCTAAATGAAAAATAGTTTGTAATGTAAAAATACTGTATTCTCTAGTTGTTTTTTTACAATGGTGTGTGCTTCTTCATACTAAAACAGGATTTAACTTACATTTTGAAGCTAGTGGTCTTGTTCTGGTTCTAAGGATGATCCATCCATCTCCTTGCCCATTCGTCTCTCTGATACATGGCTTCTTGTTGGCTTTGAATTCCCATGGAAGCAAAGACGGGTCCTGGACATGTGAATGAGGATATACTGCAGGGAGATTGAGGTGGATAGATGTAGTGCCTGGGGACATGAGACACATCATGTGGTCAGGTATCTCTACTAAACTTAAATGTAGAAACTCATCTGCCCAAGATAAGCTGTTTGTATTGCAAGAACTGCGAAAACCTTACTGAAAATAGTGATTTAAGGAAAAAGTAAAAATACCAGACTGAAGCTGTTGAAAGTTTGTACTGGCTTTCATGGAGAACGTGGAAAATAAGTAATAGAAAGAAAACTTAAACTTATTTAACTTAAGCAAAACTTAAGTGCTTTGAGAAGAAATGAGTTTCGTGTGAAGTCAAGAGCAAATCTTGCTTTTCATGGTAGAAAACTATCAAGGGCTTTGCAGCAAACTAGGAAAACTTGTCATCTTTTTATGTATGGAGGGAACTGATGGATTTACTCTTTCATACCAGAAAATAGGCTTTTGCTTTCTTTAGTTATGTCTCCTATTCCCATTTCAGTGAGGTTGGTAGCCTAATAGTAGGTAAAAATTTTTGTGGGTCTGGACTTGTTCTCATCATTACTACAGGGTATGTGTAATAAGGATTTGAACATGGTAAGGGACAGAAATGGAAATCAAGAAGCTTTTAACCTAAAACCAGGTTTTTTTCAGCTTTTTTGCCACTTTGTCGCCTTGGCCTGTGTGGGTACTTTGGTATGTTGTTCTGGTTTGTGCAGCAGCACAAACCTCTATTAGTGAAAAAGATGACAGCTGTTAAGCACTGTTTCATAAGAAAAAAGCTGAAGAAAAAGAGTTGGAAACTGAGGTTTTTGAGCAACTTAATATTGAAATATGCTAAATATATTGTGCACAACATTCAGAATTCAGGTATTGGTGATGATGTGAAATGTTATAAATAGTTTGTTGAACAAGCAAGGGAGGTGTTTCCGTAATTGAGATAATAATTGAGGTAATAATTGAGATGCAATTTGCAAGCGAAATGTGGAGTAGAGGTAAGGAACTCTGCCTCTTCAGGTCTTGATGTTTTCTGTCTGGGAAACTTGCTTGGTGCAGGGAGTTAAAAAATG